CAAACGGGAGTTCAGAGTTAATCTATAGTCACCACAAATTCTAGGGGTCTTGCCGTCCGACTACAGTGGCGTAACGATAGGAGTACCCCATGCTGAAGACTGAATTGGTTCAATTATGCCTTTCACACACAAACTGTTTAATGTCTTATGTACTGCTGCTCGAAGACCATAAGGAATTATTCGTCTTTTAAGAAAGACGGGATCACCATGTACTTGAAGTTTTATAGGCTTAATTTTCATACCTCCACTGCACTTAGCACACATAGCTATCAAATCTTTAAGTAAAGTATCAGAATCTTCTTTAGAAACTAAGAAGGACAACTCCAGCTTAAGCCTTTTCAAATTCTTTAAACCTAATATTGACAGTCCTGTTTCACTAACAAAAAATTCACAAGGTATGTATGAAGAATTATCATCTCTGGTTAGCAATTCACAACATCCTCGTATGGGCAGTCTGTGCCCAGTAATCCCCAGTATTGATACTTCAGTGGGTCGTACAACAACGTTATAACGTAGGATCTAAAGCTTCCAAGTTCTTGAATGAAATAATGGACTCTATACTGCCTGTGTCCGGAATAAAGTTATGAAATGAACCAAGCGATGTATATAGTCGCTTCTGAATATGAGCATTACCTTTCGAAATAGTAGACAAAGATAAATGATCACTAGAAACATCCGAATTATTGAAATTTAAATTACAAGATTTAGTACAGCTTGAAGCAAAATGGACAGTAGTTTTGCATACTGACTGAATGTGTCCTACCTTACCACATTTAAAACATTTAGCATTACGAAATACACATGAATTGCGAGCATGAAACTTTCCACATGATAAACATTTACCAAACTTCATCTACTTTAATAGTCTAACACATGATGAACTGAGAAGTGTTTGTAGCCGCTCAATATAAAATTCCAGAAGGAATGAAACATACTCACACAGTGAAAACTATCAGCAATGTTGATGATTTACATATATATTGACTACGATGAATTGCGATTTGTACGCGTGACCTGTCTACACTTTCGGCTTTTCGAACAAGTATGGAATAGCAAAGATATCAGAAATTACACTACAATTTTTAAAGTAATCACATTTATGTGGATTGCATTCGCGATTTCAATATCTCAGAGCAATTCAATATTGCAAAAACAAAGGGAACATTCTCGTCAACATGCTATATACCAGTTGATGTTAAACGTTTTCGAGACCTATATCATCTCACCATCGTTTTGTGGTGAAGTTTCACAGTACATTTCATCAAATGAAGACTCTTATAGTAGTTCGAAGTAATTCCTTAGTCATTTCAACATCCAACAGCAAATTGACTTGTAATTATTAATGATAAGTATAAAGTCATTGAGAATCATGACAGAATATCATCAAATAGCCAAATAAAATTACACATGGCATTTCAAATTTGATGAAAAAGATGTCATCTATTCAAGTGTGTAAATAAAAAGTGCTGAATAAACAAGGTTTAACATACTCTCGATTGGTTCGATCTCCACTAGCGTGTCACTTTTGATCCATTTACTGGGAATACTTATCTCAGGTGATCTTAAATATTTATCTAATTGAATAAAAAAAAACACATTTGATTTACTTTTATATGAACAACTATTCGTTTACATCATTTCATGAGTGACAAGTAAAAAAATGAATTTTTCTGATTACGGATACAGTGACGTTAATGCAGCATCCTAAGAAAACATGCTTCACACAAATACTGGTTTCAAATATGACCGGTGTTCAACCAGCAATTGAAAAATGATGTCGTTAAATTTCTGATTTAGTTTGCAATAGTATCAGCGCAACATCTTCAAAACATGTGTATAACTCGTGACACACTCGTTGTTTAGTGGGTGAATACACTTGAGTGAATACACGAGTGCATATATAGTCTGTCGAATATTGTCAGTCATATACCCTTGTCAGGATCAGTCCATCGTTAAACGTATGTGTGAGCGTTCTCCATTGTATGCACACAATCTCGTGATAATGATATTCACACATCTTGTTAATAACGCTAGAAATATCAGGTTAAACAAACGTCAGAAAATATGCCTCTTCAGATTTCTTTTCGTTGCCATTTATCAAAGACAATTGGAACTACATTACTGGGAATTCACCACAACTCAACTTTATTTCACAACGGTAACAAATATGACGGTTGTTGGATTGAATACAAAGATAATTTGATCTCGAGACATTCAATTGTAGCGGGGGGTTGTTCGAAAAATATTCGATATTTTCATGATTACATTTCACCATGATTCCTTATCAACCGTAACAACAAAATGTCCGTTCATGAAGTGTAAACATATAATTGACGTTGGATATTCAGTATACAGTAATGTTTAGACAGTGTGTTTACGAAAAGCATTCTGATTTCAATGGCACTTCCACCAATTTGTCTCACATTCGAATCCATGTAGACTTAATTACAATTATATAAGATCACTTTCGCAGAAAATAACAAGTCACTATATTGACATGTGAATAACTGGGAACAAATAGAAAGCAAGATATTATGAAACAAACTGTGTTGATAGAGAATAATGTGCATCAAAATACTAGCAAAAATCGTTACCTTCATCCGTATTTCCACAAAGATATCCAGCTTGAATATAGGTGTACAGCTGCCTATCGTCGATTTCCGTAGGAATCTGAAAAGAGGTTTTGAAAATATCAAACACTGATCCTCGCAAAATATACACACTATGAACTAATCAACAGTTTAAACACAAAGTCACTCATAATATTCATTAGTGTAATTTTCGAACATCTTATATTCAGAAGACGAAATAGAGTTTGACTGAAGATGACTGTTTCCGTACGATAATCTCATACACACTGTTTATTTCTATTCGCCTCGACGACATCATCGTTTAGTTTGATGGTACTTCACTTCCAATGATTCACTTTTTTAGGAAGTAGGTGAAGAAAATGTGTGTCACTAAAAAAACTATAAAAGTGTCATTCACTCTGTTTGCACATTTCAAAGTGTTGATCCCTTTATACCGTGTTAAATATGTCTTAATATATTCAAGCGTATTGCTATGCAGGAATGAGTAGAATAATCTGTGGTACGTGAAACAAAAGTTTATTTCCATTCAATTGTTCAACTTACGTTCTCATAATACACAGATATCTTCCCATTTCGATGTATCAGATTAGTGACCTTGCTTGTAATATCTGCAAACAAAAAGTCTATCACTGTTTAAATTCTAAATTAAAAATGATGAGCATGTTATTGTTAGATGTGACAGTGTAAATGTCTACTCACAAAAGATCAGATTGAGTGATCACCTATTGTGTTATCACGAATGTTTTCTTCGGTCAATACAGAACAAATATTATCAAGTGAACGTCATGTCGATGAAGTGAATATAATTCCTTCAAAATTACTGTCATGTGCTTAGACTTCCAAACCCAACAGGTAGTTCTATTTGAGCGATGTTTTCTCTAATCACACCCAAAACAATCCGCTCTTAAACTACATGACATGTGTTGTGGAGTGTTTGCTTACAATTGAAACTTGAGAAACACATTGATCAATCAATCGATCGACCGACACTGACATAGTGCTTAAAAAAGACACAGATGTATTTGTTAAGCATGTGAACTGAATAGCTTCAGATATACCGTCTTAAGGATGTCCTGATTTGATAACCATGTGATTAGTGAAGGTGTAGAGCGCGCTGTTAACTTAAACGGAATTCACATCAAGTTCCATTGAAGCTTGTCAGCGATGATGAATGTGTGCATTTGTTTTTTACGCAAGTGGAGTGACATTGTATCTTCATTCGTCCATTAATTAATCGTCAAGTCTAGTCCATTTCAATCTATGTCAACTATTGTTCAAGTCCAAATAAAAGTGTTTAAATGGTTGGTGGACTACACGCATAATTCCGTCTCCACTTTTCAGAAGCGCTACATATTCATATATTTGCTAGTCACTGTGAAAACACGAATTGCACAAACTAAACAGGTAAATTGTGAGCAATCACAATGAGTGGTAAGATTTTACATTCCATAAAATATTCATTCAACGTTCGCTTACATTTATCATTAACATGTGTCCGAAAATACCATTTCACAGCAATTGATTCATCTGCAAAAATGAAAATCAAAGGGAGTTTTGTCTATATGTGTAGTGACTATGATTTTGTTTTAATAAAGGTACGTTATAACATGGAATGAATTCGCACACGAGTTATCATCTACCTTGCGAGATTAAAGTGAACCGGCACAAGTAAATGAACAATTATTTTTTATGGGGAAGTTTCACAGTTTATTAATATTGTTATTTCGAAAACATGATGAAGGTTTCAATCCAGTCAACTGAGAATATTATTTTACTGCTGTACAGTTGATTCTAGGAGCTTTCACTGACTAAACGACCTTTAATATCCACTTGAAAAAACCCAAACTAAATCATTTTCTGAAATTCTGTTACTCTAATGAAACAGAGTTCTCTCAATTAAGCCAATTATTATGCAGAAATGTTACTCCAATGTGTTTAATTCCGATAACTGACTGAAATGAATGAACCTGACCTGGATGGTATAGGTGTTCCTAAGCTTACTAACTCAAATCGGCCTCGTGAACAACTTCGCTTATAGTTTTACGTGTAATCAATTAGATTGATTTGTTTTACTAGGAAGTGTCGTTTCTGTGGCATACGTTCCGCATTGTAGTTTCGATACACTGGAGAATAGCTACTTGCCACTCAGGTGACTATATCGTTTAATTTATCATTTCTACTGAATCAATTTGACCGTACTTTGAAATGATTACCTGTTTTAAGTAATTCTTTTACTTGACAGTCACCAATAGGTGCTTTGAACACTTGCCCTAATATCCAATCACACAATCAAAATAATCACTGCGTATTGGTCAGTTTCCGTGCAGTAATCAAGCAAATTACTGATTCATTCATGCAAAGTCAATGTGTGAAAAACAACTGAAAATGGTACTGAATAATAGAACTCACTGTTATGTAGCATCTCAAATTGAGGAATAAAAGTGCCTGGCATAATGTGATTTATCAGTCCGGGTGGGTTACCAACTATTACTATTAAACCTGTATTTATAAAATGGAAACATACAATTTGATCAAAATTCTGTTGTGTGTGAATGAAATAATTTGAAATGAATTGGAGACAAAGATCAATCGCATGAACTTCAGTCAGTTTACTGTAAAACAGCAAATGTTTCACAAATTGAGTATGAAAATGAAACACACATTCATGGAACATACTGTGATTACCAATTTTAATTGAAAGAAAAAGGTTCTCTTACCAGTTGTTTGGATCAAGTATGTTGAGACGTTATTTTCGTAATATTTAAACGGGAATTTCGGCTGAACAATCTTAAAAGATGCAAATATAAGATTAAGTACTTTCATTGCAAAATGTAATCAACTCACCTGTGTGGTATTAAATGTTTCAAACGTGGCATATACAACTGGATTGGGCTGTTTAATACGAATTCGTTGTGAGTAATTGAAATAATGAGACTGTGTTTGTGTGTTAGAATATGAATGATGAATACTTACATATTTGTATGAAGCGTTGACGAAAATTACTTCTTCATATTTCTCTAATTCAGGTTGTTGACAGATGTCTTGACAATTGTAGATATCACAAAGCAATGTGACGACCAAATACACGGATATTAACAGGGAACATGGACGAATATATCTAAAATAGTTAATGTGAGAAAAACAACGTTATCTCATTGAATCGAAATGAAATTCATATAATACACACATTTAATTCGTTTGTTCAGTCAACACTCACCTCATCTTTCCGTTCAAAATAGTAATCACATTTTAACAGAACGTGTCAGGTTTATATAGATTTTTCAGTTGTATTGTTGTTTGTTTCTGATTCGATGATTCAAAGTGACCATTAGACGTGGGCTGATATTCATTAAGCACTGGTTGATATTCTTGACCTTTTGTGTTGAAAAGGTTTTTGGCTTTGACTAGCAATACTTTGAATAAGTGACTGGTTTATTTGTACCTTAAATTTGTGCTAATGTTTCCACTAACAAGCAGTTTATTGATTTCTAAAATGAGAATTTCTTTGATCTCTATTCTGTGTGAGTAGATGACGATCAGTTACTTACACACATTACTAGAAAGCGGCATTCCTTATTTTAATTAAGATTCATTTCACGCCCACTACACAATAGAGAATATCATATTATCGGATTTATAAGAAAGAATGAAGTGATAGACAACAAGAAACTATAATCACTGTTTTACTTAGAAACAACTGAGGTCAACAGAATGATGTTTTTAAATAACAATGTCAATTATTTTACACTATCACTGTAACTCAATTACAAGTATATTTTTGTGAGAAAACGCATATTATGTTGCGAGTATGCAAACAGTTGTGATGATTATATTTATTATTCAATCACATAATTCTAACAGAATCTTCAGGTTAGAGACCTTAATCCAAACAGGATGAAGCGGCCGTTCATTGCTTCCAGGTTTTCAATGGTGGTCTATCATCAATCGGTACATGATCTCAATCAAACAAATTTAGTTGGACGTAAGAAGCACGTGTTGTGTTTAGGCCAAACAATGACTGTTCATCGAGCATAATCTCATCCTGTCGGACAATGCTATCGCCTTAATTCGTTCAACTGTATTTGTCAGTTGTCAAACACATTGTTGTATCAAAGGATTCGGAGGAGCGAAACCTGAGTGTCTGCTTGAGCAAACTAGGGAAGATGAAATACAAACAGTGAAACCAACAAACAATCAATGATAATCATTTCGGAACTGAATTCACGTCTTACTATCGATCTGAATATCACCGATTATCGTTGAAACGAATGAAGACGTTTCGGTGAAGAAACATTTGCTCTTGACGATATTAAATCATGAATCTGTACAATAGCACTTTCAGTTAATACGTTTGCATGTACTATTGTGCAATAAAACAGATGGATGTAGCAAAATTATCAAAGATATTCAAACTAATCTCTGCAGGGATCGATCATAATGAAGTGTTGTTGCACAAATTTGTTCGTGATAAACAAAATCTTCGCTGTTTAATAATTTTGGTGGTAATTAAAAACATTAATCTTTGGAACCAAAGATGAATATGACTGCGCACTTAAAAGATAAGGAGGAAAAGGAGCAATTATAGGAAATAATTAGCTATTCTATCATGTCAAATTCAATTGATTCGTATGACCAATGTTGAATAAGCGATTGAGCGAGACTCTTCGGTGTACAGAATTGGGATTTGAAGTGGTTAATTACTATAGCTTCGATGGTATTCACTAAAACCTTTTCCTAGCTATTCTTTTTGTTTTGATGTGTAACTGGAGTGCAGATAGGCGAAAGCTGTGTGGTCTGAATTGACTGTGTCTTTGAGACTTGAGTTGTTGACTGATTTGGATATCTCATTAAATAATCATGCAGCATAGTGCTCAGATATTCCTTTACAATAGTTAGGGATGTTAGATCCTCAAATTTCACTTGGTAAATGCCTTCATTTTGTAACTTTACTTTGCGAATTCGGATTTCCTTGTTTTTGGGCTAAAAGCATTCTTTTCACCTTTATGTCGTATCTCCCACTTGCGAGAATCTTTGACGCTATTAGTCCGTTGTGTATTTTAGTATGCTATTTTGCAACTCTTCACAATGACAGTTCTATGCTGTGTATATACGTTTGATTTGTGATTGCTGCTACTGCTCATGCTTCTAGAATTATGGAATATACTTTCTCGTCCAGAACTTCAACACCTCTCCCTAGTTAGCGAGTCTGAGACACATCAGAATATCTAGCTTATTGGTCTTTTGGTCACAAGTCTTCGTTTCGTTCGCATTGTAAGTAATCTTGTAACAGCTTGAAACCTAGTGAAATTGCCGACGGTCGTTTAGGAGACATAGAGTCTGCCAAAATTGAATTATTACTTGAGCAGCAGCTGAAACGTCAACTGATATAAAGATTTTGCCCCCCTTACAGTCTAGCATATCTAGTGCAACTACAGTACCATCAATAGACGGCATAGCTAATAAAATTGCTGGGTTTCATTATGGTTCTGATGCCAGCGTTACTTTTGACATGTGGTTCTGGCGTTGGGAAGACCTATTGAAATTTGATTCTGCTGATCAAGATGATGCTTTGAAGGTTCGGCTACTACTTCGGAAGTTGTGTGCAACATCGTTTAATTCACTAGGATGATCTATTTTGACCTTTAATACACAATTATTGTGAACTCGGAAATATAGCCTGTCATGACGAAATTATCGAATAAAGTTTTAGCCACCACTCACGGTTCTTCTCTCTACTTCATTTGACACATGATGTGCGTCACATAGATTGATAAACTGAAGACGTGAAAACTACTTGATTCCATAGTTGAACGATCACTTAACTCATTTCAACTTTGGCGGTAAATATTTATAGTGTTTATTCACATCTGAGGCAAGACCTTGAATGAACCGACAGCTAAAGTATATGTTTTCGTCTCATTTGCTTTTCATAAAAGTAGCATTGCTTTTCTAATTGAGAATGGCACTCAAATCTACACTGCATGGGTGGATGACTGTCAGTTACATAAACATATTATTAGAAAACAACATTCCTTACTCCAATTATGAATAATTTTATACTCAGTACACAATACAGAATACCATATTACCTGATTAATTAGAAAAAAGGTGGTCATAGAAGACGAGTAAGTAGAGAAGCGAAATCAACAGAAATATTTTTGTCGATTGGATGCTGAGATTATTGTCATTGTTATCTTTGATTATTTTAAAAGAATATTTCTTGAGGCAAATAGCACATTACTTACTTACGACAGTGACTCCTCGTGGAGAACCATAGGCCGCCCACCAACACTCTCCATCCAACCCTGTCCAGGGCAGTCCTTTCCAGCTATTTCCTGTTGTTATTTAACTTTTTCATATCTGCTTCTGATTCTCGAAGTAATATGTCTTCTTGCCTTTCTCATTTCCACTCTCCTTCACGATTACAAGCGAGGGCTTGCCTCGTGGAGCAGTTCGGTGATTTCCGTAACGTATGTCCTATCCATTTCCATCGATTTTCCTAATTTCCACTTCCACTGGAAGCTGGTTTGTTCTCTCCCACAGAAGGCTGTTGCAGATAATATCTGGCCAACAGATGTTGAGCATCTTGCTTAGACAACCACTTATAAATCCTTGCACCATCTGGATGTTGGTTTGTAGTAGTTCTCCACGTTTCAGCCACTTACAGTTGAACTGTCTTCTTAAGCGAAGGATTCAACATCTTCCAGAGTTTCTCCATTAATTGTGATCGGGTTAGTGTTCTGGGTGTTGTATTTGTGGATCTTGGTTCGTCCTTTATGCGTGCTGAGGCCCATTGACGCAGAGGCTGTTTCCATACTAGTTGTCTTCAGCTGCATTTCTTCATGTGTATGAGATAGGAGGGATAGGTCATCTGCGATGTCCAAACTAACTAATTAGTCCTGAACTATCCGTTGCATTTCGTTTTTTCCCTCAGATGATGAGGTCTTAATAATCCAGTCAACCACCAGAAGAAAGAGGAAGGTGGAGAGTAGTCAGCCATGTCTGACTCTGGTCCTTAGTTGTAATACGTCTGTCAGCTGTCCTACATGCAACACTTTGCACTGTGATCCGTCGTGTGAGTTTCGAATAATGTCGACAACCTTCTCAGGAACTGGTCTTCCTGTTCCATTAAGTTGTCCGGACGTTCCATGTGCCCATAAAATGTTTTGCTTTGCTTGTCAGAAGGCGTTTCGTTTTCATGACCAACAAAGGAACTCGGCTTTCACCAAGGGGCATCATATCTCTTCAAAATGAATATCTAGTTCCAAGGGCAGAGCGTTAATTGTTTGAATTATTTTTTCTGTTTGACTTTTGTATAGAGTGTCAGTTTTCTACGGGATGGGGTCGCTAACTGCACGCTCAATCTTCCTCCTTCATCCGGGCTTAAGACCGGCAGTAACTCTGAAAGAGCTGTAGGTTCAGTTGATTAGCATATAAGATAAGTAGAATTCAAACAGATGCGATGATCATATAAAATATTCAAATAATTATTCTTGACGTGATCGCCAAGTTACAGTCCGCAATCTAGACAGTTATCGGAAGGATGCAGGAAGTACTTTTGCGTTTAGGCCAAACAGTGGCTGTTCATCGAGCATAATGTGTTGCTTTCGGACAGGATCATTTACTTAATCTGTTCAACCATATTTTTCAGTTGTTAAACACATTATGGCCTCAAACGAAGTACAAAAGTGAAACAAAATGAAGATAGGAAGCAGACAAATAAATCAACAAATAATCAATAAAATTCATAATGGAACTGTAATCACGCTCCATTATTTCCTTGAATATCGCTAATTATCATTGAGACGTTTCACTGAACAAATGAATAAGTTCTTTTGACTTGGCATCCGCGTGTTGTGTTTGTCTAATTATATTCAAGTTGTCATCAATTGCGCCTTCAGTTCATATTCATCGTTTCCTGAATATGGAGCATGGATTAAATCCACCATTCTCATCACAAACTACAACATTCAAAAGAATTACCTATAGAAATGTTTGTACATATTCAGAAATTGATATTGTCGAAAAGAAATTTACCTCACTTAGACTTCTTTATCTTATCTTTTCAACGAATCAATGGACGTGATTCGCTTTTTCAAAACCATCAATAACTTTGACATTTCCTGTTCAGCTTCGTCTCTTAATTGGTCCTCTTAATGTACATATCGGATTGTCTATTATTCTATCAATACAAGTGTTATATTCTCGACCACTTGACTATT